GAATACTAATGTTTCAGTTGTCTGGGTATGACGCGGTGTGACTACTGACCATTAATGAAAAATATAATTTAGGAAACCTAAGCTGCCTTAATTTTTTTGGCATTCAATTATTATTAATTATTACAGATATTTTAAAATTGGCAAACCCTTTTCAAGTTTCAATATTCTAAAAAAAAAATTTGATACGACAGCGCCCTCTATAACGTTTTTAAGTAATAGAGTCAATGCAATTTGCGTTCCTACAAATGTTAATTACTAAGCATCTGTTTTATTGCTATAATTACACATTATATTACTATTCGAATTACATTCATATATATTCACTGAGTAGTTACAGTTTAACACAACATGGCCATGTGTATCCATATCTCACCTGACCGAGAACTGGGCCGAGAGGTGGTCCTGGAACCGCTTCTCCCGCCTTAATGTATGTTCTGATTACATTGCTTGGGACCACTTTCTTCTTCTGAAGCGCCTTTGTTCCCGACGATGCAAGTCTTGAAGTCCTGGACATAGTTAGCTTTAAAACGCCGCTCATGAACTCAGTGTCACATTTGTCTCAGTGCGCCGCCATCTTGTTTACCGCATTCATAGGTGGTCTGTCAAAATCCCTGATCACATGGAACAAATATGTCGTTTGTATTTTTGTGAAATGTTATATTTATAATGAGAAAATAATATATAATTGTAGTGAAAAACAATCACCTTAAAATAGTGTTATCAGAAAACTGAAATACTGCTGCTGTATGTACAGTAACTAATTGCTATTTTGGCGGACACCGAACTGCATCACGGTATAACTAGTGCATGCATCACAGTCTCGGATATGTACGTTTGGCGTTCGTCTGTTTGAAGCTTTCTGTTATGTGCATGTGTATTTTTTATCACCATGATTCCAACAATAAATGAACTCAAGAAACTTAAAGTAGTTGACTTAAGAGAAAAGCTAAGTTCTTTCGGACTTTCGACTTCAGGTTTGTGGATATTATATTACGTTCTAGTATTATTTACAAATCCAAACGGTACTACCGGTGCAGATTAAATATTCTGTTTAAGTTTTTTTCCTGGGCCTATTGTGTTGTGGTTAAATCTACATTGAAGTAATTATAACGGCAATTTTTAGGTATTTTGTCAGTGATCACTTTACCACGTCAAGCCTCACTGTAATTCTACAAAATGTACACATAGTGTAGTGTTTGATTCTCCCCGGCGTCATTCTATACTTTATTGATTGATTGATTGATTGATTAATTGATAAAAATGAAATATTTGTTATGGACTACATACCTATAAGGTGTGTGTATGGTAGCGGGTAAGAGTTCCTTAGGGCTCCCTCACCCATAACTCTAAACCAAAACCCTGCCCCTCCAGTACCCATCCTCCATTTCAATTATATGTACACCTTTTTTGGTCACTTATAATTATTTGGAGTTTTATTAATTGGCCTATTAAATTACATTAAGGGACTGGAGTATTAGGGTTGGTGTTCAGGTTAGGGATGAAGGGGTCTTACGGAATCATTTCTGATTCGTCTCGGGTCCACACAAGTTCATTTATCCCCAAATCAGTTTGTCTTATTTGTTAGGTTACTAAAACATGTACTACTAATTTGTTCAATACAACATCCAAACAAACTTGTATATAATCAGTCATTTAAGATGGTGAATTAAAAAGTTTTGTAACCATAACATCATCCTCCCATTCACATCAGTATCACATAATTACATGCTATTGTATTGTAATAAATTACTTACTACTACTGTATCAGCTGTAAATAGTACAGTTATTAGTCCGTGACTATGTGCATCACTACCATCTTGTGTTCTGTTTTATGATTGGAATGATTTTTTCATCAGATAATGTTTGATTAACTCGAAGACATGAGAAAAATGTCTTTGATTAACTACAATCGCAAAAATAAAAAAAATCAATATAAGCAAGTTTATTGTTGTAAATATCCATCACTATTTACAATGCAAATAGAGACCCTCATCTCCACCACGAAGACAATATCACAAATAATATTAGTATTTAGCTTTTAAGTTTTATTACGTGGATGTAATATAATTATCGCCAAATGAACGGACCTGTAATCTGACCTGAGATGTGATATTGCAAGCACTGTGAATGTTCCGTGAATAAAATGCCTGCTGTGTTATGTTACATGTTTGGTGTAGTAGTATGATTGTTTTGAAGATGTGACCAGAGACATGACCTGATGCATGAACTTATGTTTAAAATTACATTCTGTCTTTATATAGATAAGTTCTATGTTACATGCGAACTCGCTATCACTAGTCAAATGTACTCTGCAAACTGACAATCAAGAGTCCTGTGTTATTTGCAAACTCACAATCACCAGTTTCTGTCTTACCTTGGAACTTGTAATCACCAGTTCAGAGAAGCAACCTAATTCGCATTGGATATTGCCACATCTACATACCTTGAAATACCTCAGTAAATGTTTTTGACTGTCTTCGATATGAATTGAATCATCATGATACAGCCCAAGTTTTGATTATCCGCCCCTCTTGAACATTCTTTTGTCTTCCAGTGCATTTGTTGCATCATGGACAAAACGATAGTGCCAGACGACAGCTTCCAGCATGGGGAGAACCCTGATTATGACACACTTGCATAATCATTACCTACCCATAGGGTAAATGGTAATCTAACATACACTGTAACTTTGCAGCTTTACTGGTTTTGGTAAAACTCTTGCTCGTAACTATACATGTATATAGTTTTACATGGCATGTGAGTAGGCATTTTGCCTGGACACCCATATGATCAAGTACTAGTAGACAGTCAGTTTCCCTGTCAAGACAGTAACTATGGTTGCCTGGAATTAATAGAACTACCGTAAGAATCTTGGTTGCTACTGTGGTTGATCAACTTTGTCTATCATGTGCTCTGATACATCAGTTATATTTTTAGTGAGATCTCATAATCATGACAAACAATATAATTATGACATCTTTTATTGTAATTACAGGTCTGAAGCCAGAATTAGTCGCAAGATTACATAGCTACTATGAACATGAAGAAGAGCAGAACAAAGAAAGTGTAGGTTAGTATCCAGCCAGAAAAATACCAATGTTTAGATCATTAATGTTGTTAGATGAGGAATATTTAAAAATGTACAGAGTACTGTATTGTGTGAACTAAAAAAAAAATCATGATTCATTCATGTTTTGTTGACAGCAGATTAAACCCTAATTATACTTTCCTGACCCTTCATAACATGTATTGAAGAATTACCCTTATTTTGAGATTTAGTTCACTTGAGTATTTCTACACATGTATTGAAGAATTACCCTTATTTTGAGATTTAGTTCACTTGAGTATTTCTACACATGTATTTCCACGCACATGTAATCCACAATTTCTTTCATTACTGTTCCATTGAGTTACATTTACTGCAATCTAAAAATCCTAACGATAATTTCCTTTTCTTGTCTTGTAAAATCAGAGGAACCACCAGTTGACACTGTTCCAAGTAGTGAAGGATCTGGTGAAAGAAAGGGATTAGAGGGTGACGAAGCATTGCAGTCAGAAGAGGCTCTCAAGCTCATTGAAAGTGAACAGAAAAGAATTTTAGAGCAACAAAAAGAACTGTTAGCACAGCGTAAACAACAACAGCTTGAAGATGAGAAACTACGGCAACAGCAAGAGGCTGCGGCTGCAGCAGTGCTGGATGAAGAGACAAGGCAGAAAGTTTTACAGCAGCAGCAGTTGATAGAGCAGCAGCGAATTGCAGATGAACAGAAAGTGAGTTTCTTCCATACTTTATTGACATGTATCTAACACCAGAATATACAGGCATGGAGGCAATTGCCTTGGTGCTGTGTGAATGCCTTGATGCCCATATTAATTGTCTTAGGCATTTTTAGAAATAATGGCCATGAAATAAGGTACCCTTAGAATACCTAAGTTGAAGCCCCATAACATAGAAGACCAGGTCAAATTGATACATTTCCAGTATAAATAGTCTCTTTCTTTCATGCAGTTATTTTGGTGATCCACTTAGACATGTATTGCAGCAAATATTGTATTATTGTAAAACCATTTATTTTCACCGACATTTAATTTCACCAATTTGTGAAGTGAACAATAAGGGTTATTGTTATTTTAGATGTGTATTTTAGATCAAATTAAATGATAAGCATGTAAATGTATTTGTACTTCCGAAACTTTGTTTGTAGAAATTCCACTATACCAATGCTAGCTAGAAGATTCATTAAATGCATATAATTTTTATAACTTTTTTCAATCGTTGGCTGAAAAACAACTGAAAAAACAATGTTGATTTGTTGTAGTTACTGCAACAACAAGCTCTAGCACAGCAGCAGTTGATGGAAGAAAAGAAAAAAGAAGAAGAACTCTTACGACAGCAACAGATGGCATTGCTGATGAAACAAAGGGAGGAGGAAGAGAAAGTCAGACAGCAACAAGAAATGATTCGAGTACAAGAAGAACACAAAAGACAACTACAGACAAGACGTGAGTATTGCAGTATGCATAATTACCATGGTTTATGAAATATAATTTTTTTAAAACATAACTGTGACAAGGCTATGTCACATCAGTCAAAATTGAAGGATTTGTTGCATGGTGGAGTGGTGAAATACAATTGACTGAGGTACTCAAGTGTTGTCCCAACCTTGGCTGTACATCTACTTAGTACAAGCACACATGTGCATATGATTTGTTTAGTTTACAAAATAATTAAAAATAATTTCAACTAAATTACAATACTAAACGTATTTGTAATGCTATTATATATCCAAGCATTATCTAGTGACTTCACGACACATTGTGATGTTTCCATGCTTAAAACCCTACAAAGTTAACCTACAATGTAGATGGAAATTTTACATCTATGCGATGCTTATAACGGTATTGTTGCTTAATTCCAGAACCATTGTTACCAACACCAAGTACACCAGCAGGTCCGCTATTACCAACACCACAGCCACCTTCAACAGCACAGACAGGACAACCAGTTTCAACAGCAGCAGCAGCAGCAACAACACCACCTATGCCTTTGATGGCAACGCCCATACCACCTCCACAAAATAGAGGTCCTCCACCAGTAAGTCATCCTCCCACAAGACCTTTATTGCCAACCCCAGACATGCAGGATCATGGTCCTCCACCTCCAAGAGGGAGAGATTCAGAACCATCACCACCTCCAAGAGGGCCTCCTCCTCCATCTGTCACAGATAATGACGATAGTTCGAAGAGGCCAGTGAAGCTGCCCCAAGCACTGGAAAAAGTACTAGCATTTAAAGATGTCAGGAAAAAAGAAATAGGAAGTTTTGAAGATGAGGGTGAGTATTATACTAGAAAGATTCAATGCTGGTACTGACTAGGTTGGCTCTTTTTTTTGCATGGCCCTGTATCAACAAGGCAGTATGACTGTATATTATTGTACTACTAGTATATGAATTGTGATTACCGTAAAACCTCTATTAGAAGCTGCATCTCTAATATAAGTCGCACCCATTCTTTTTGAATATTTGAGAACCAAAAATTCACCATTTCTCATATGTGTAGATACTCTAATAGAAGCGGCATCCCCTCTGTTGCATTGTACCATTTTAATAGAAGCTGCAGCTAATACAGATTTTACAGTCGTCAGAATAGCTGACATGTGGTTATAATGACGATAGACAAGTTATCTATTCATGGATTGCTATTTTTTAATATAAAATAATTCACATATATACATGTACAAATAATTGTACAAATTTCTACTCACTACTACTGTATTTGCTCTAATATGTCAGCAATGTATTTATGGTCAAAATAAGTCGTGCTTTAATGATCTAGCATACAATAAATGTATTATTTTGGTTTATGTGTGCCTCTATTAAAAGTGTAACGGTACTTATAATACAATAAAGATGGTACCCCTATATTATTGCAAGCTTTGGTACAACCAGAATAAGGCAAAGTCTTTTAGATGAACCATCTCCTCTATAATCACCATCAAGGTAATGAAGAAAGACATCATTTTTTATTTACAGTGGTCAAAACACAAGCAGCCGAGAAGGGGCGAAGTTTTCGTGAAGTTCCAGACATTGAAATTGAAGACCTAGAAGCGATAGAAGATGATGTCGGTACAACGAAAACAAATGAACCAGCAAATAAAGAAGTATGTAATTTTACTCAATGGTGTACATTTATTAGTCGTTACTTTAAAACCAGTCTAATGTGTTTACTGTTATAATTTTTTGAATGCTTTAAATTTGTTCATTTATAAAAAAAGATATATCTATTGCCTTTTAAGTGGTTTTGATTTATCACAAGACTGGGTGAAAAATTTACATATTATCTGTAATGACTACTTGGTCAGCTATATCTGTTTGTTATTTTTGTTACCTCATTGATTGCAGTGTATCATATTTTTAAGAGTACTGGTACTCATTTACTCTTCTCTGTCTGTTATCGCTTTAATTGGAGAATTACATTCACAGGGGTCTGTATCTCAAACATTTTGTTTATTTAGTGACCAAGTGAAGTTTGTGAAATATGGACTGTCCAAGTTTGTTAGAAAAAATCAAATGTTTCAAAAAAATGGTAGACATCAAATCAGCGACAATCCCTGGTTTTGGGTAGTGTCTTTATTGTCATGTTAACAATAATCATTGTGTTCTAACAACTAATGAACCAACTATTTCTGATAAATAAATTTTTTTTGCAGTCTAAAAACAAAAGGAGGAAAATGAAAAAGAAGAAACGAAAGAAAGCCAAGCAGAAAGAGGAGGAAGAGAGGAAGGTAGCTGTATCCGCTGCTGCAGCTGATGGAGATGATGATGATGATGACATAGAAGTCGAGTATATCCAAGAGGACCTTGCATCAGACTTCATGGATCCAGCATTCAGACATTTTCAGCATGTCTTTGAAGCTTTCAGGGTAGGGTATCAAAAGCTGCATTTTAGTGCATGTACCATTGACGAGAGTTATAAGACTTGTTTTCTTGTTTTTAGATATACCAGGTAACTGCTACTACTGTCACCTTCCACAAAATAGTTTCTGTAAAAGATGTTGATCATACAGTATAGTATGTCATCACTCTTTATGTCTGATTGATTCAAACATGAATACTGATTTTAGAGAAAGTGTAGTAAAATCTATAATATCTAATTTTCTTACAGCTTACAGATGAGGTAAAACCTGAAAAAGAGGAAAAGTCAAAAAAGCATGAAGAAAAATTACCAAAAAAGGCAGAAACATCTAAAGAGTATAGTGACAGTGACAGTGATAGTGATGATGTAAGTTAATTGTTTATTTAATTACTGTACTCATCTAGCTTAGTGCCCAACCTCTAGAAAACATGATTTTTATGGTGAGTACCCTGGGACGCTAAATCGGACAGGTATGGTATATAATAACATGGTAATTTGTTTTGTATCCTTGTCAGAAATAGCTATCCTGGCCTAGTTGTACTCCCTGCAACATAGTTGTTACTGTATCCCTTGTTGGTCTTCAGCAGTTTTGTATAGATACATGCACGTGTAACATTCTCAATACCAATACTTGAAAATAATATTTTCTACTGTTTTTAGGATGTTATCAGAAATGACGATGACAAACCTAAGATATCCAAAAAGAAACTAAGAAAGCTGAACAGATTGAGTGTTGCCGAACTGAAGCAGTTAGTTAGTAGACCCGATGTCGTAGAAATGCATGATGTCACGGCACAAGATCCAAAGCTACTTGTTCATTTGAAGGTGAGGCATAATATTTCTATGATGTACCATAGTCTCGAGTAATGACATCAGACGAAGCTCACATTGTCAGTATTGACATGTACTGTCTAATAATAACAAGTTATACTTAATGAATGAATTTGACTTGATTTGTTGCAATTGGATTTGTATACCAATCCTGGCCTCATACCAAAAGTGCTTGACATGTGTCTGTTGTCATTGTAAATCACCAAAAATTGTTTAAATGTATGTCCGTTCTTCCCTAGGCAACAAGGAACACTGTGCCAGTACCTAGACATTGGTGTTTCAAGAGGAAGTACCTACAAGGTAAAAGGGGTATTGAAAAACCACCATTTGAACTGCCAGATTTCATCAAAAGGACAGGAATCATGGAGATGAGAGAGGCGTTGCAGGAGAAGGTAAGATTCAATCCCTGCCTGCTTATTTATTTGTTTTTAGCTCCTGCTTGGCACAACTACAAATGAGGGCTAGTGGAATGATCAGATTCTGTGAGTGAATTATGTGGGTAATTACTTGTACAAGGTTTTCTCAGCAATGAACAGTTAAGTTCAATTTCATTAAAACTTGTACATCATGCATGTTGGGTTTTTAGCAAATTATTTTGTTTTGTGATTACCAGGTACATTCAATTTCCTATATTTGCCTTTCTCGCAATGTGAATGAAGGAAAAGATACAAAAATGTATACAAGGAAAAAATGTCTTTCATTATCATTTTTTCTTATAGTAACAATAATTAGTGATGTGAATTAAATGCATGTTTCTTGTGCTTTATATTTTATTTCATTAAAATGAGTTACATTCTTTATCAGTATGTCATCATACAATGTATGTCACCTAGGTGAAATTTTAGTGTGAATAGCATGTATAAGTACTTTTCAAGATACAGTTAAAAATTTGGCTAGAAGAAAAAATTGTTAAACTGAAAAATGACTGCACATACATAAAACAATGAAGACATTAGCAACCAGTTTTAAGCATGATATTTCATTAGATTTTTAGTTATACTGTTATTGAAGAGAACTTATAAATCATTGTTCATTATCAATCCTTAAACAATTGGATTTTTTATTTCTGCCTGAAAACTGCCAGAGCAATAGCAGTGATAGTCGCAGAATGTTCAATTCTCTGTTCTTGGTGAATATTCCGTCTTAATATGCATAAAACAAGCAATTTTTATTTATCCAATAGTAAAAGGTTGTTGGAAGTGATTCTGACTCCTTCTTGTCTGGCAGACCTTGCAAGAATTTTCTTATGTGCTTTTGTGATACATTGTATAGTTACTGATTTATTGAAAAATATGTCTTTTTTTATTTACAGGAAGAAGCAAAGACCAATGAAATCAAAGATGAGAGAAAAAGTGAGGCCAAAGATGGGCAAAATTGATATTGATTATCAAAAATTACACGATGCTTTCTTCAAGTAAGTTGTACCGTTAAAGTCCTATTATAAACCGCAGTTTATATTAACAATGTATCAATTTAAAAATTGGGATCAAAAGCTCAAGTTCAGGGTGCGGTTTCTATTACGTACATATTGCAATCACTAAATGGGCGTGGTCATTTTTTGTCCACAACACATGCACAAATCAAACAATACACCGTACAATCTCTTGAATAGGCGTCGGGGAAGAGTGAAAGGCC